GTCCCGGGCAGGCGGCGGGGCGCGCGGCTCTCGAGGTTGAAGGGCCGGTAGCAGATGTTGCAGTCCAGGTCACCCCGCTCGGGAAGAGACGGCACTCTCACCAGGAGCTGCATGGTGCCCGCCGGCGACTCGAGGGCGTCGCTGACACGGTCGGCTCACTGGACAGAACGTACGGACCCTCGCTGTGGCCCTGGTCGCGTTCTGGGGCCGGCGCCGCGGCCTCTCGCCCCTTTTAATAGTGAGACCCCGCCCCTCGAGGCGTGACGCGATGGGCAGGTCGCTCCCCGCGGTGGCATGCGTGGGGGCGGTGGAGGCGCGAGGCCGTGAATACCAGCGGTGGCGAAGCCCTCAGCCTCTGGCACAGGTTTCCACAGCCCCACGGGTCAGGTCACACTCTTATCCACAGCCCCACCCGAGCAGCCTGCCAGCGCCAATGACACTGCCCACCCTGCCCAGTCTGCGGCTGGCTCCTGGAAGTTCAGGTGGGTGCTTCCTGGCTTTAACATCTACGGCACTCTCCAACTCTAATTATATACGAGCTCCGTGTATTCAGACTGGCTCCCCAAATTTCATTTTCCCCAGAATGCTCAGCTCCGGCTGACAGATCAGTCTAAGGAGGGACCTAGATTGCAAGACCATGGCCTTAGGAATGATGGGAATCCTTTCCTTCCAGAGTAGCCAGGCCTGGACACCCACACACCATGATGGTTGCACCAAAGCAGCTCAGCTTGAGTTCTGACTCAGGGGTCTGACTTCCTGCACAGGTAAACAGGACATAGTATTCACAACCCACATTCCCGCAAGGTGCCACACCTACCCCCAGCTGCCTCCTCACCCTCCTCCTGAACCTGCAGTCCAGGTTCTGTTGTTGAGGGTCACAGCCCAGACTCTAGTGCCAGCTGGATGGAGTTCAGATCCTAACTACCACCACTTACTAGTTGTGACACCTCAAGCAAGTTACTTAATTTCCCTGGGCTTGGTTTCCTCAGCTATAAAATGTAGATAATAATAGGACTGCATAAATGTATATAGCCAGATGCTCAGAATGATGCCTGGCAAACAGTAAACACCACATATCAGTTCCTTTTATTATCCTGTGCCCCAGCTGATAATTGTGTTCACTCTAACTTCTTACTTAGTGCCCAACATTTATCAACACCCATCTCAGTCAGTACAAGATGGGCTTCTCTATGCCCATTTATTTATTGGCTTTAACAGGCATTTTTTAAAAAAACTACATTGATTAAACCACAGAGGGTATTCTTTTGTTGGGAGGAATACTGTGATTTTTTAAGCAAACATTTCAGAACTTCTGGGTTGTACTGTATTCCTGGTCACTTGGGTAAGCTACTATTCCAGTGATGCTGTCATAATTGAAAACTTTTTGGGAACTTCTCTTTGGAATGGTATTCAGAGATCTCACATCTTTTAATATCTTCAGCTGGTAATGTATCTTTTCTTTAAGATTTATTTATTTATGCATACAGAACTGGGGTACAGGCCAGAGGTGCAGGGGCAGTGAGAGGATTCACCAGAGGCAGAGTGGGGAGTGGAACAGGCAGACTGATGAAGTACTGAGGGGAGCAGTAAGCAGGTCAGGAGAGGTCTGCCACACTGTGTGGGTCATCTCCCTGGCTGGGGATCGAACTCTTGCTGCAACGGCTTGGGAGAGCTTCATAATGTGGTGCTTTAATCCATTGTGCCACCAGGGAGAGCCTGGTATATCTTTTTTTTTTTTAATATTTATTTATGCAAACAGAACTGGGGTACAGGCCAGAGGTACAGAGGGTGGTGAGAGACTTCACCAGAGACAGAGTGGGGAGTAGAACAGGCAGATGGAGGAAGTACACTGCTGAGGGGAGCAGCGGGCGGGTCAGGAGAGGTCTGCCGCGCCATGTGGTCTCCTCCGGGGCAGGCGGGGATCGAACCCATGCTGAAGTGGCGTTAGCTTCTTAGTGCTGTGCTTTAACCCGCTGCACCACCAGGGAGGGCCCCGATATATCTTTTTTAAGGTGGATTGATTATATAGTACTACCAAGCATCCAGCCAAAACCTCTCTAAGCTCCAGACCTGTATATCTGCTCAAGTTACTTTTATGTTTGTCTTCAAGAACCCAAACTGATGATCTCTTGTGTGCAATCAACGTCTCTTCTAGTGTTTCCTACTTATTTCTTTATCCATCTCCTATTGGAACTGGAGTTAAAATGACCTCAGATTCCTAAAATACACAAAAGTTATCCAACTTTCCTTTGAGATTTGCTTTCAGACACAACAGAGCCTAGATTCGTATCAACGGACGATGTCCACTAAAAGTGTACAAAGGTATATGACCTTAAACAAAACCACAAACCAACCAAAAGTGAGAGACCTTCAACATGGAACTGAAAATGGGTGTGCGACCCATCACCAGAAATTCAAAACTCCACTTATCATAAAAGAGAGGGAGAGAGAGAAACCTCTTCATTCTTCTCCATGTACAGACTGCTCTTTAGGCAAAAAAAATTCAGTCAAATCCACATTCCTTTGCCTAGCCTGCCAATAATTCCTTGTTCTCAACCCTGCGCCCCCCAAATAAATATAAACCTCTTTCCTTTCCTAGATGGGGCATATTTCTGTTTTCTTCCTACCTCCTTGTCAATTTGTAAAAAACAAACAAACAACCCTTCCTTTTCTCAAAACCTAGTGTCACAGTACCTGACTTAGATGCACATGAGCAGTAAGCCCATCAGCAGTAAGCCCATCACTCAGCAGGATCACTAGATCCTGCCCTGTTCTTACCTTCCTTGACCCAACTTACCTGAACGCTCATCATCAACACTGCGGCTCCTGAATATCTAATTCACCAATTTCTGTCCATTTCTAGTACCTTACCCATTCCAAGCTGCCACTGTCTCTTGCTTAGGCACTGGTAGGAGCCTCTAACCAGTCTGTCCACAGCCATTCTGGCCTTCTGCATGCTTCTCTCCACGCTACTTACAATGATCTTTGCAAGCCCAATCAGGTCCTACCACACACCCCTTCTTAAGGTGTCTTAAAACTCATGTTTTAAGCCTTTTAATGTGGTGGTAATTGTTAGGTGCAAACTCCTATGCAATGTGATTTTGTTACTTCCCCCGTGAAGAACTATTTACAATGCTTTAAGTGTAGGCTCACCTAGTTACATGCTTTAATCAACAGAACGGGGCAGGGGTGACGTGTAAGTTTTGGAGCCTCCTCTTTCAGAGGGATTTACCTTTGTCCACGTGAAACACTGGCCCGAAAACACCATGTAAGGAAGTTCACTGGCAGATAAGGCCACAATGGAAGAGAATTGAGGAGCCCCAGCCATTGGCCAGCACTAATAGCACTGATTGATAGTGAGGTCATTTTAGATTTTCCTTCTCAGCTAACTTGTCAGCTGAATGTAGCCATGTGAGTGAGCCCAGGTAAAAATCACAGAGGAACCTCCCAGCCAACACATAGAATCATGAATTAATAGTTTAGGGCCTTCCTGGTGGTGTAGGGGTTAAGGTCTCAACACTATCCAGTCACTGCAGCATGAGTTCTATCCCCAGCCAAAGAGGTGACCCACATGGCATGGCAGACCTCTCCTGACCCGCCCACTGCTCCCCTCAGCAGTGTATTTTAGTAGATCTACCTGTTCTGCTCCCCACTCTGTCTCTGGTGAATCCTCTCTGGCCTACACCCATTTCTTCTATGTATAAATAAAAGTGTGTCAAGCACCTCCCAGGTGACCTGGGTTAAGTCTCAGCGCTATCATTGTATAGCCTGTGTTCGATCCCCAGCCATGGAACTAAACCACATGGCATAGCAGACCTCTCCTGTCTGATCTGCTGCTCCCCTCAGCAGGGTATTTCAATCTGCCTGTTCTGCTCCCCACTCTGTCTCTTGTGAATCCTCTCACCCCCCGCACCTCTGGCCTGTACCCCAGATTTTATCTTCAAAAATTAAAAAATAAAGAGATTCAATATATATTTTAAAAAACAGGAAAAAGTTGTGTCAAATTACTAGATGTTGTTGGAGATTTGTTATGTATCTATCTATCTATATATATGATACGGAGTGTTTCATATTGTCCTTATGAGAAAGATATTGTAAAATGCGCTAAAAGTTCTATGTTCTTAACTTACCCATGTCTCATATTCTGCTTCCATTCCCTTTAGACATTCTGCTTCAGAGCCTTTGGCTTGCATCTTCCTTTCTCTCACAAGGATTCAAGTATTCAGTACCCCTAACACTTACTTTCACCTTCTGCTTCATTGCCTCACCACGTCAAATACTCTTTGTACACTGTAACAACACATTCTTTCCTGTGGCTTTTGACAATTGAAGTTTATCTTTAGGGGTTTCCCCCATCTGCAAGCTCCACAGAGGTTTCTTCACCGTTGTACCCCTGTGCCATATACCATTGTATATGGTATATACATACTACTTAAGACTAATGAATGATGTGAGTGGTAAATGAAGTGTGATGCTAAAGGAAGATTTCTAAACTGCTTCTGAAGGGAGTTCTATGAGGAGTTTTAAATAATTTGAGCAGTGGGGAAGGCATCATTAAAATAAATGCATAGACTTCCAGGTTATTTTTGCACTTATTGAAGGAGAGTACTATTTTGAATTTATAAATTCTTGTATGTTTGTTACAGAGTAACTAATCATAGTTTAGTCATACATTTTCCCTCTTTGTTTCCTGCACAGTGTTCCAAAACAAGTGGGAGAGGATAGCCTTGGATATAAGTATTCATTAGTTGATCCGGTTGGTTACTAATCCAGTAAATGGCACACTGCTGACTTTTCTCTTTTGGAAATTGGGTTTTACTCTGCTCTGAAAGCTTCAGGATCAAGGAAGGGTGAGAAAAGGGAAATGGTGAGGTTGTATTTTAAGGAAGGCAGAGCTCATCCTCCTCTGCTTTGTGACCTTTAAATGTTGTAACTTTCCACCCACTTTCTGTCCTAGGGAAAATCAAGAGTCCTTTGGGGAAGAATAAATATGTGACATAACCCCAATTGCTTTTCCTTTTCTGCCACCCTCATACCTGATCTTTCACTTGTTTTCTTTTAAAACAATACCTCCTTACCCTATCATCTCAACTACAGAACACTTTTCACTTTACCTCTCCTTCATCAAATCCCAAATGGAAGCCTCAGAGCAGTGCCTCCCACTCAGCCACAAGAACATCTCCCAGAAAGTTCTTTAGCATATGTGTGGGTATCGGGCAAGAAGGAAATGAGAAGTACAAGACAAGAAGTGTGGCTAATACAACTTTAGAAACAAAACAGGGTCAGAAGGAGGAGCAATAAACTATGAGATCACATCTTTGGGGTTGAAAAAACATGACCACTGAAGGAAGGAAGAAAACTGGGGACTTAGGGTATCTGATGTCTGGATCCTTGATGATATTCAATAGTAGTGACCAGGAGCTGAATGCCTGAGTCATTAAGGTCAATGAGTAATGAATAGAATGCTGGTACTGATGAATTCTAATCACTGGGTGCAGAGGGCCAGACACAAGAGAGATGCTAAGATCCTAACTTCCCAACCCCTGCAACTTCAGACACAGTGAGTGAGGATCAAGCTGAGATTTTATTTACAGTTCCCTGGGAAGGCTTACAAAAAAGGGGCCATCATTATTGCTTTAATATTATTGCCAGGAGGAAGCCTGGGGTCCTCCACTGCCCGGTAGGAAGTTCTGCTCAAGGCTCAGAAGTCTATCCCCAAACCTTTTTTGTCAGCCCCTTACCCCCACCCGGTCTCTGCAGTGACCTAGGCTGTTACTTTCCTGGGAAGCATGGCCCAATTTTGTTTTCCATGGGTCACCTTGGCCAGTTTTGCCAGGGTTTATGCTTCTGCCACCTGTGTCCCTCCTACCCCCTCTCAGCAAGAATAAAGTACTAGCTTTAGTTCTCCTTTTTAACCCTCCCCTACCTCCTGGCTTGGAGGCAGGGTCCTGGTTTCCCAAAGATTATCATTTACTTCTAGCCAGGACCAGCCTGGCTTCCTTTATAGAATACAAAGAGCCCATTTCCTTTATCAGGGATGACATTATAGCTCACTCAGTACGTTATTATCCCATGAAGACATTTCAAAGGCTACTTCTGACATACTTGGCATGTTTCTTATATCTGCCTTTTGTTTCCTTTATTTTGGGCCTTGGCTGTTGAGGAGGAAGAGAAGGGAGCGAGACCAGGTGGCGGAGAGGGTTCGGCCCAGTAGCTCATGCCCGGGATTAGCAAGAAGGCCTAGGAGAACGCAGCTGTGTGCTGCGCACTACTTTCCCTCTCAAGGCCCTGTGCGGGAAGGATATGGCTTTGTTCATGCGTATCGCTACTCGAAGCCGGGACTCGTTAGTGGGCGGGGCCACCCTGGCTCTGGCAGCTGCTTGGCGGGATCCGGAGCGGGAAGGAGGCAGCTGCGGGAAAGCGGTACCCCAGGGTTGCAACAACTCCAGTTTCAGTCCCTGCGCCCCCAACGGACTATTTCTTGCAATGTGGTTTATTCCCCAGAAGCCCGTCTATCTCCATCACCGTCTGCGGGGTCAGCTGGCTCAGGACCTGGAGAAAAATGTGGAGGAGAGTAGAGTACATATGGGTGACTGACAAGGATATGAAGTTGGAGAGTGGGGGAGCAGCATAGCCGGGGCCAGATGGCCAGAAAAAGAGTAGCCCGGTGCTCCTGCCTGGCCTTGGCACCCTGGGAACACTCATCTGCAATGCGAGGACACTAGTAGGTGACCTCACAGGGGTGGACAGCCAGGTCTTGACTGCTGGGAAAGGAAACAGATGGGCTCAGCTTTTGGGCCAGCTCACCTGTAGAGCGCCCAGGTGTTCTATCAGCTGCTCTGCACTTGACACTCCTAGCAAGACGGAGCTGACACCCTCACTGCGGAGACACCAGGCTAGGGCCAGAAGAGGAAAAGAAAAACAGAACTATTGAGGAACACTGAGCACAGAAACTTCTAAAGTGTATCAGAAAGAGGTTCCTCATAAGGACAAACAAGTCTTAGATAGGTTTGGGGTCATCTCAGGAGGAGACAAGGCCCCTTGATGGCCCTGGCAGTGTCTCACCAATTGCAAGCTGGGCCACAGTACAGCCCAGCTGGTGAGCGATGGGGAGAAGGTCCATGACTTTGGCCTGTTGCTTCTTGCCATCCTCACTCTGCACTTTGTCCTTGAGCCACTGGTAGCCCTGGAGACCAAGGAGAATCAGAAAAAGATAACTTACTTCCTACCCCCACCCTCAACAGCCTCATCCTGAGCAGGAGATCTCACCTTGATGGTGGCCCTGGAAGTATCTGGGACTCGCCCATCATACTTGCTAGTGATCAGGCCACAGGCCACAGGGGACCAGGTAACTGAGCCAACACCTAAAAGGAAGGTGACTGGATGTGGGAAGAAAGATCTAGGTGATGAGGCCGAGGGAAAGGTAGGGCTGGGTATGCTGCTAACCAATCTTGTGGTAGAGCTCTGGTAGCTGCATCTCGACCTTCTCTCTCTGAAACAGATGGTGTTCAGCTTGTTCACACACTGGAGGAATCAGATTGAATTGCCTGGCCATGGAGTAGGCCTCCTGCATTACAGTGGGGAAGACACGGGGTCAGAGTACTCCTTCCATTTTCTTCCACCTCCCTGCCCCAGCAGAGAGGGGTTTGGAGTGTCCTTGTGAAAAGTGGGAATTCAGTATGGGGCAGAGAAAAGTGGGGTGGCATACATACCATGATCTCTGCAGCTCCCCATCGGGATGTCCCCCAGTATAGGGCTAGGCCCTGGTTGATGACGTAGGTCATGGCTCGCACAATCTCTAGGCACATGGGAGAGGGAGAGCCTCACTATCAGACCCCCAGAATCCAGTGCTCTGGAGCTGCAGGCCTCTGCCTGAGGCTAGTGTCTGCTCCTCTCCCTCCCTTCCAAGCCCCAGGATTTGAGCCTGTATGGAGCTTGGGAAGCTTTCAGAGCAGGGGTTGGCTCCCTACTGAGGGTTTGAGGAAGCTCTCACTTTTCAAAGACTGTCAGGGCTGGGATGCTGCTTTTACCTTCCATGGGACTATTGGGATCTGAGCGATTGGCAAAGACAATGTCCACGTATCCCAGCTGGAGGCGTTCTAAAGAGCCTCGCAAACCTAGGGTAGGAATGGAGAGAACAAAAGTACCTCAACTTCAGTTTTGTAAGAATTCATACCTTACCTCCTTACCATAGCCATCTAAACCACAGCTCCCTTAATTCAAATTCAAAACCTCTTGCCCAGAGCCTCAGAGAATGTTCCCAGTTCCTCTGTTTTTCATTCTAGTCTCTTCAGTTTCCTAGCCTCTAGCTCTCACCTTCAATGATGTGTTTGCGGCTCAAGCCTCGCTCAGTTTCTGCTCTGTAGGAAAAGGTAAGTCAAAGATAAGGTGTGACAAAGATAAGGGACCAAGACTGGCCAGGTACCATGAGGAAGTGGAATCGCACAATTCCCCACAGGCAGGCTGCAGATCTGGGGTAGCAGGTGGGCACAGCATCCCCACTCCCATTCCATGCAAATTCACACACTCTGAGGATCTACAGTGAGCAGGCACTTACTGTCCTCCCCAAAAAATCTTGGTGGTGATTACATAGCTTGATCTCCTAGAAAAAGAGAAATGGAAGAACCAGCAAGGATTTTTGGATGACCGTGTTCCCAGTCACCCTTCAAAATACAGTCTCACCTCCACCCTTTGCTCTTGAGGATGTTGCCAAGGGTTCTTTCAGCCCTAGAAAAAAGATAATGCAGAATCACTGACCCCTCCAAGGTGGAACAGTTCCCTCTCCCTCCTGTTTGTTTCCTTTAATTAATTTCCTCTCTTCTAGAGTAGAGCATAAATTAGGACCTCTAATTGGGTTGTCAGTCCCATCTTGAACTAAATAAGAGGGGCTCCCAGAACAAGGAATATAATCCTATAGTTTTCATTCAACAAATACAAATTATGCATCAACTATGTACTAAGTTGTATTCTAGGTGCTGAAGGTATAATATAGGACAGTGGGGGAAAGATAGAAGACTGTAATGGAACCAAGGAGGATACTAAGTTGTATCTGTTGGTCCTATCTGTCTTATCTTCCCCGGCTTATGTGAGCCTGCAAAATCCCACCCATCCTCCAAATCTTAGCTTTGATTCTGCCTCTTTTATGGAAATTGCCATAGTCTGTGGCCAGTTATCTTGTCAGCTTCACTAGTTCTTACCAGTTATACAATTCTTTGGCATTAAGTATGAGCTAACATGGCAAGTCTTGTGTTTTACTGTAACCTTTCATAGCTCCCTGTCTTTTGGGTTGGTTTGTTTAACTATTTAGACTGTGAACTTTTTGAGTGCATGTTGATGTCGTCTCACTAGCAGTTCCTGCTTTGTCTGTGTTAGGTTCTGTGTAGATACTTAGGTGACATGGGAAGAGCAAGACAAGTTCCATGGAAGGAGCAACTTCCCAACTGAACAGAGAATACAACCACATAAACCAGTGTCGAGGGCAATTTAAACTGTTCTTGGAGCTGAAGAAAGTTGTGATCAACTTTAAGGAGTTGAGCAAAGGCCTCTGGGAAAAGATGACATTTGGGCCAAATCTTAAAGACGAGTAGAAGTGTTTGCCAGAGAAAAGATGGCGGGGTGGCGGGCGGGGATAGGTCACCTCAGGTTCTGGCAAATTCCAGTATGAGCCATGGGTATGTGATGTGATGTGGTATACTTAGAAAAAAACTGTTTTGTAATCCTCAGAGGATTACAAAACTGACAACAGGGTATATTTGTTTTATTTTAACTGTTAGTATGTCCATTGCCCCCTAAACTGGAGATGCACTGATGTGGAACTACAGTTCCCATAATGCTTTGGGGCCCACTGACTGAAAGATTGGAACTTAGTGTTTGCAGAATTCCCAGGGTTCTGTAGAGGAAAAACAAGAAGCCCTGATGTTCTCAGCCTTCCAAATATAACTTAGCTCTTTCACCCCAGTCCTTACTTTCCTGCTGCATATACTTCGGCAGTGTCAAACAGGTTTACACCATGTTCATAGGCTACTGTCAGCACATCCTCTGCTGTCTGGGGGGGTGAGAGAAAAAATTGAAGATTAACCACTGGTCCCTCAATTGCCTCCCTCACTGCATGCTCACCAGTCACACCACGGGCCGGGTTTCCACATTCTCCCCCACCCCTACACTCCACACTTAGGTGCACAGTGCTACATGTTTATTGTCTAAACCCTTATCCAAGTCCATTCCCTCCCTCTTCTGGTTCCCTCAGATCCCCTCACCCTAGTCCCATCACTTATACCTCATCTGAGATCTGAGAACCAAATGTGACCCAGGTACCTGCAAAAGAGAAGTCAGGCACAGGAAAACCATTGGAAGCAAACCATGAAATAATGCATATATCCTTAATTCCTGTACTTTCTAACTCACCTAGGCCAAGACAGGATACCCGAAGACCAGACTTTCCTAGGTTCCTAAAGGAAACAGAAGCAGTAGGAAGGGGTCTTTCTATTAGGGGCATAGATTCTCAGACCTCAGAGGGTCTGCAGAACTTGCCAGTGCTGTGCCCATAGCATTAGTGAACAAATAAATGACTGTTCTCTGGAGTCACTATCCATGCCTCTTTTCTATCACATTGAAGATGTACTGCCTGGTTTGTGTTTCTTCTCAGTAGGGGCCTCACTATTTGAATTATCTCTGGAATATAAGAAGTCAAGGGCTGGGAGGAATATGAATGGCTGACTGTGACCGAGTTTGTGAAAATAGATTCTAAGAATGATATGTTAGAGTGCAGACACCAGGTTGGAAGGGGTAACCCAGGCCCTTGGGCAGACAGCCTTCTTAGATTGGCTAGTCAGATGGACCTCCAACAAAGGCAGGTAGGAAACCTGGGTGTGGAAAGCCCAATCCCCCTTCTTCCTATCACCTCTTCTGCTTCTATTGACTTGTGAAGTCTGTCTCTGAACCAGAGCTCCCCACCTTACAAGACCCCCCACCCAAGCAGAGGGGCTAAGATTCCTCAGTTGACAAAGTCATGTAAGGTAGGAGACCTTTGCTTACTCGCACATTGGAGCCCCTTCCTTCTGCTGCAAGTTCTGAAAGCTCAGCTGTTCTCTGAGATAAAGTCAGTTCACCTACACCTGGCTCTGTCCATCAGCACCTTCTCCACAAGACCTTGTCCTTCCTATGGCCCAACTTCCCACCCCATTAAGAAAGGTCACAGAAACCTGGACCCTGGGGCAGCTGGGGACAGTATCTGGGTCAGGCACCCTAAGCAGGCCAGAGTGAGAAGCTATCTCCTTCCCAGGACATCAATCCAAGGGCATTATTGGGGGAGGGGGAGTTGAGGGGATACTGCCTGAGTTCCATGCATTCCTGACCTTCCCCTGGGGCAAGGAGGGGAGCTCTTGAGCTTTGCCTAGGACTGACAGGACACAGCCAACCTTGGCAAACTTGATTCTTTCATAGTCAGGGTTACTGATGAAGAAAGACTAAGACAGTCACCAAGTACGGGAGCGCCAGTGATGGGAAGAAGAGCTGGAATGAGCAGGACGCTTCTTAGCAAAGTTTGAGGGGGTCTGGCAACATCTCAGGAATACTCAGGGGTCAGGAAAGAGAAGCAGATGCGGTGGGCTGCCCAGCCACCCCCATACCTGTATTTCATGCCAGTGCCTCTGCCGGTGCTCTCTCGGAGGGCCCCAGCGGGTGCTGGGGGTCGGGGAACCAGTGCAGTCCGGCCCTTGGGGCCCGATCCTCCACCCCCCGGAGGATTCCCATGTCCCCCGCCGGCCGACCCTCCATTGCCGCCCCCTGGGCCCGGCCGGGGTCCACACAGACGGTCCTCACTGCTCCGGCTGCGAAGATTCTGTTCGGTACATGCGATAGACACCTGCATGCCGGCTGGTCAGGAAGGGGAGGGGGCTCTCCAGGGGCGGGAGGAGGGAAAGGGAAGCCTGAGAACAGACACCGGGGGTGTAGCGGCGTGAACCCTAGGAGAGCGGGAAGGTTGAGGAGGCTGCGGCGGGAGCCGCCAGTCAGGATCGGGCCGCGGGGGCGTTGCTGGAGGTCGCTGGGTTTGCGGCGGGAGGGGAGCAGCGCGGGAGGCGCGGAAAGTGGAGATATTCGGATACCAGGGTACTGGTGCGGGAAGGAGGGGGAAATGGATGAGGGTAAAGGTCAAGAGCGACCCTCGGAGGTCGGGACCCAGGGACGAGAGGGTGGGAGAGGTGCCACCTCACCCCTACCCGCAGCGGGACCGCTAGGCTCCCAGCCGCGTCGGCAGCTGTCCCAGCTAATAAACATGCAGACACCGCCCTCTAATTTACATAACCCCACCTCCCAGGCAAACCTGCGCTCATATGCATAAGCCCCGCCTCCACAGCCCTTCATCTTAAATATTTTTGTGTATTCAGTGAAGCCAGAATGCAGAACCCCAGAGGGTGGTTTTCACAAATTCTGGGACCCCAGGCAGCCAAGCAGCAGCATTCCTTCAGCCAATCGGTAACGTTTTTTTTTTTTGGTCCTCCAGAATGCATTTAGCAAAATCTAGAAACATTTTGACTTTCACAATCAGTGGTGAGAACTTCTTATATTACCAGCATGTAATAGTGATTGTTGGCCAGAAACGGCACAGGACGCCCTCCTTTTTTCACTCTTCCCTACCCCACCCATCCCAAAATATCAGTAGTATTACTATTGAGAAACCCATGGATAATGCCTCTTTGCAGGCTCAGGGCGATGTCTCCACCCTGGTTCCTGTTTTGAGTGGGGCTGGACCCCAACCAAATACTCAAACTGACACATTCAGTGGCAGGTTACAAAAAGTTTATTTTTGTACTTCTTGCAGTCAAGTAGGGAATAAAATTGGAAAAAGGGTCTGGTATGGAGATGTAGGGCCTGCAATAGCCTTCCTTGCTGTGACTGGGAGGGCAACCAGGCTGGTTTTAGGCTGTATACCCAAGAGGGCTGCCAGAAGGGTTGGGGAAGGGTGGAGGGGCTTTGGTGTTGGAGCCCGTTAGGTAAAATGAGTTGGGAAGGGCCTCTGGCAAACAGGAATACTCCTAAGGGTGAGGTAGGGTGCTTTCTTCAGCCAGCTCTGGCGGAGAAGAAGGGCAGAGAACGAACATAGGAATCCAGTCGGGAGCGGAAAAGCTCACTTTGCACAGTTTGGCCCAGTGGGCACAGGGGATTCTTCACCACCAACTCCACGTACAGCTATGGGGAGGGAGGGTGTTAGAGCCAGGTTTTATACACTTTTTGTTTTCAATCCCAAACCCAGTATAATCTCAGGGGTTTCGTGAATAGGCAAGGATTAAGAGTTGGGAGGAGAGCACTTCATGAGAAGAAACTGATGATTAAGGACCTAATGGGTTCTGAGAAAACGCTGACTTAAGTAGAAATACACTACAGTAATATCAGGGCAGGAAAGCTGAAGGAGTCTTGGGAGCTCTAATTGGCTACAGTTATAGAGGAGCTCCGGGAGAAGAGTCCCAGGGGCTGGCACTGACCGCACTGTAGATGTGGTGCAGCACATCTCGGATGGGTCCCACGCCCAAGTCAGTATTCATGACAACCTTGATCCCAGTAGGTGTCTCGTAGTAATGGAGTTTGTAACGGCTAGTTTGGAAGGCCAGGAAGCCGTCCTTCCTGCAGAGATGAGATATTAAAGAGTGGGGGCAGCATTTCCCCCAAGGATACTTCTGGTCATCTCCAGGTACATTCCGTCTTCCCTAAACATACTTGTAGGCACCTGGCTGATATTGACCCCTCAAATTAGCTCCAGCCACCCAACCTATCTTTTGATCTTCCCCACTGCCAGTTCCTGCCAGCTCCTGCATTCACACTCCATACTCAGGTTCTCTAATTTGCCTTCCCCTTTGAGGCCAATGCCCCCTCCACTTCGGAAAGTTTCCCCCACCCCCAAATACACAAGGCGTACATGTCTAGCGGGGACATCTTGCTGACAAACGAGCGGATAGAGAAGAGCATCCCGTACATCAGCTTGTACTCCTGGGAAAGGGAGGGAAAGGGGCAGATTAGTTCTCGGTTGTTGAAGGAGGCAGGGGAGGGATGGGGAACAGCCAGGGTTTGGAGACAGGGCTAGACTGAAATATATGTGTCTGGAGACGCGAGGTGACCCGGGCTGCGCGTGGCTCTCTCGTCACCTCCTCCTTAGGGATCCCTGCTTGCTTCTTGCGATGCCACTCGCTGTAATGCAGACACACTCCATTCCGGTCAAACAGGTACAGGTTGTGGACAGTCATCTGCAGGATGAGAGTGTGAACCTCACTCCGGGACCGCCCAGGGTGTGGGCCCCAGTTCTCGATTCCGTGTCCTTTCAAATACGAAAGTCCCCCCTCCCCGCCCCCTGGAGACTCACCGGAACTGCTCCCAGTTGCCTGTCTCTAGGTACTTCCGGTTTCCGCGGCGTCCCGCCCCACCCCTCGGTAGCGATGAGCAATAACTCCGCCTCAATACTTAGCCAATCCGTGATCGCTCGGGCTGCGCACGCGCGCCAGGTTCCCCGCTCTGGAATCTGCGTGCAGCTCCGAGTTTGGCTTCCAGGGCTGGTGACGTCATCGAGAAGAGCGAGGCGGGGCTGCGGACGGTGGGCGGGAGGCTGCCAACGGTTTTCAGTGTAGGAAAGGGCACTAGAGGGGGGCTTTTGGTCTTCCCGGACCACCAGATCTGGAGGCGTGGAGAACAGGCGGAACGTGGTGCTCGGGATAGAGGATCTCAGGCGAGGCTTCAGGGCGGTGTACCTCTTAGGCACCTCTGAGAGTGTCCGCGAGGTTTCTTTTGGAGTAGGGCGGGAGGGAGGGATTCTAGAGAGCTTGCTATGGCTTTCTTCACGGGAGAGGTGTGTGAGGGTGCACAAGAGAGCTAGTTGATTCTCGGTAGAACTGATGTGGTTCAAGGGGTGTCGGAAGGAGGGGAGTGTGAGGTTCCTGCTTCTCTGAGATTGGAATCAGTTGAGGGGCAAATAAGGCAGCTGGACGGAATTTAGGGCCCCCTTGGATCTGGGTTCACTTTACTGTGCACGTTCTAGATGTTTGAACTTTAGAGCTCGGTTGAACAGAGATAGCCCGTGTCCAAGTGGATCTCTTGAGCTTTCTGCACGCCAGCACTGCAGTTGCTGTGGCGCTGCAGGAGGTGCTCTGTTCCCACCCCCTCCTTGTAGCACTCTTCTTTTCTCCGGTTCCAGGAGCCGTGGAAAGAAATGCTTTTGCCCTCTCCCATGGCCTCTGGAACCAGTGGAAACTTTCCCTCTAACCAGAAAGCCCTCATACCCTTATTCATCAAAGACCCTTGGTCTGGAGTCTTCCTCCTTTCTTCCACATCTTCCTTTTCCCCACTGGGCTCCCTTAGAGCAGAACCAGAGGTTCCCAACTCGCTGCCTACAGTTGTGTCTTCCCTGTGCTCATGGCAAAGTCAGCTACCAGTCCCAGTTCACCTCTCCGGGCAGAGGATCTCCTGAGTGATTCATCAGAAGCCCCTGGGCTGAATCAAGAGTCCTCTGAGGTGACCTCCCAGCTCTATACTTCTTTGCACCTCAGTCGTCAGGCAGAGGCAACAGCCCGAGCTCAGCTGTATTTACCTTCCACCTCTCCACCTCCTCATGAAGTGTTAGACGGCTTGGCTCAGGAACTCAGTCACAGCTTGTCAATTGGATTGGAAAACAACTTGAAGAAAAAGGTGAGGGAGCTGTGTCTTGGGAGGTCTTAAGACTTGGAATGGTTTAAAAAAATGTTCTTACTAAGATCTGAACTATATTTGGGTTTCAGATTACTTTTTTCCCTTTTTTTAAATTTATGCTTATAAGAACTGGGGTACAGGTCAAAAGTACAGGGCAGGGGAGTGGTGGTGAGAGGATTTACAAGAGACAGAGTGGGGAGCAGAATAGCTGGATCTGCCGAAATGAACTAACTGCTGAGGAGAACAGTTAGGAGAGCAGTGGCCCCAGAGGTCTGCTGCGCCATGTGGGTCAGCTCTCTGGCTGGGATCTAACTGGGGGATCCAACTCGTGCTGCAGTGGCTGTGGACAGCTTCTTAGTGCTGCACTTTAACCCCTTGCTCAACAAGGAGGCCCCCAAATTACTTTTAACTATTGATTCAGTCATGCTTATTCCTGGGAGCAGATATTTATAATTTGGGAAACTGGAACTTCCTAGTTTTTTTTGTTGTTGTTGTTGCAGTTTTCAGAGACACTGCACTGTGGCACAGATTGCTGTGCTTTACTGGGATTTGGGTACTGGTAGTGAGGATGAGGTTTCTTCATCCCAAGAGCAATCAGAGACTTAAGGTTAGCTTCAAAGTATGCTAACAGCCTTCCATCTCAAAACTATTTTGACCATGTGGCTCAAAATTTGGCATGTAAATTATTAAGAAACAGTTTAACCAATTACACACATTGCATAGAAGATAGTTATTAGTAATGGTAGAAAGGGATCATAACCAGTTTTCAGGCTGGCTAGGTTTTTGTAAAATTGAGGGTCATGGACAACACAGTTTTTAGAAAGGGTGTTTTCTTTCTAGTTGGTAAGAATCCCTACCACCTGCCCAGTTTATTCATTTATACTCTCTGGTGACTTTAGACATTTGAGTTCCTGACTTTATTAGGTAATTTTGAGTGAAAATTCTTAGTTTCAAACTACTACTGGATGCTACTACCTACTACTACTACTGGTAGTAGGTAGAATATAGATTATAAGATTACATCTTATTTCTGTGCTGCTTTTTTTCTAGGATGGTTCCAAGCATATCTTTGAGATGGAAAGTGTTCGGGGTCAACTCCAGAGCATACTCCAAACCTCACGAGATACAGCCTACCGTGAGTAAATCCCTTCCCTGTGAAAGGGAACCTCGATTTAAGGTGTGGGAGAAAGTGAAGAGAGGAAGCAAGGGAGAATCTGAGACCTGGGAGATGAGATGAGATTTCAGAAAGAAGGCCTTGTTTCTTTGGGAGAAGAGCCAAAGGAGAGGGTAAGGTAGAAAGGAAGACTCTTCTTCAAGTGGTTCCAGTTTTTATCTTTACCTGACCCTGGCTGTGGGGTTCATCTGGCTGCTTGCAGGGAATCCCCTTGCTCCAGGTGCTGACTCAGAGAGACGGGAAGAGGACTCCTTTGACAGTGACAGCACAGCCACCTTGCTTAAGTGAGTTTTCTTTGGGGTTTTATTAGCTTGCTTACTTGGAAAACCAAGTATTCATTCCTTAGTTCTCTCTTTACTACTTTGTTCTTAACCTAAGTGGAGAGAGGAAGCAAGGGGAGAAACTGAGACCTGGGAGACAAGAGATTACAGAAGAAAAGGCCTTGTTTCTTTGGGAGAGGGGTAATCTAAGACCACTTAGCTCTCAGTGTTCTTTCTCTTCTCTCTTGTCTTCTGCCCTTTACTCTTTCAAGAACATGGACATCTGCTACCCTAGTAACCTGACTTTCTCCCAACCTCAGTTTTGCTTGTTTCTGCTAAAATTTACTGTTGGGAGTACGGTATAGAAGAAGAAGCAGTACAGAGTTAATCACGGAACCAGTATGCTATTTACAACTCTCACTGCCAAGCTTTTTTATGACTTTGAGCCAATCTCTTTCCTTTTCTAAGTTTCAGCTTCTTCATTTTAAAAATACCACATTTAGATGAGTGAATCTCAAAAGCTTGCCCAACCCTAAATTTTCTACCTGATTTGCTTAGCACCCGGCCCGTGCAAGACTTGTCTCCATCCAGCTCAGCCCAAGCCCTGGAGGAATTGTTCCCCCGCTATACCAGTCTTCGACCAGGACCCCCAATCAATCCCCCAGACTTTCAGGGGCTCAGAGATGCACTGGATTCAGAGCATACTCGTCGAAAGGTGAGATATAAAGGCTTCTTTTTGAAATCAGCAGATTAGAGATAGGACCGAGCGCCTAAAAGGGCTGAGGGTTAAGGTCTGGCAACTGGCACTTTGCTCATAAAATGGCACACCTGCCTTCCAGGTATTCTTTCAGATCAGTCTGTTTTACCTTCATATAGCGGATCCTCTATCTTGTTGCTTTTCCCCTTTAAAAATCTAAGTCCCACAAGGGACATACCTTGTCTTGTTTAGCACTGTCTTCCTGAGGTCTAGGATATTGGTAACACATGGAGATAGTCTTGAATGAACAATAAACTTTGCTGATTTGTGCAAAGTCTTTGCAGTTATTGGTGATAGGAGCTTTATCTCTGTGAGCCTCAGTCTTACTCTGAAGTGGGCAGAAACAGGCAGAGTAGAATCATTGGTTGTGCTGTCATTTTTGGAACACTCCTCTCCTCTACTTTGAAGTGCCGTGGGCACAAGGAAAGACTTTCTCCTTTCTCCTCACTGTGTTTAGCCGCTCTGTCTAATGAGCTTCCTCGGGCAGGAGTAACTTTCCATTCTTTGCCACCTGCGCTGCTGCACTCCTGCCAAAATGTTTTTAGGAATTTTTCTTAGGAGATCCACAAAAAGAAGGAAGCTAAGTCCCTATTTCCTGAGAAATTGTTGAGGGGCTTGGGCTTCTAGGTTCCTGCTCTCGAATTCCTGATTCTTCTTCTCCAAACTTACTGTTTTGGGGCATGAGGGGTGGAGTGGGTTCTCCTGCTCACTCTGTATGTCTGTCCCACTCTCTCTGGAAAAACAAAGCGCTCCGCACCCTCTGTTATATCCCCTCTCCCCTCGCTCCCAGCTCCTACCCCTTCTCCTGTCATAACCTGTTTCATTATCCACTAGTTTATTTTTATTTTGTTTTGTCTATTCTTCCACTTTGTCTCTTTATTTTGTACTTATAGGTGAAATCATCCATAATTTGTCTTCTATCTAACTTCACTTCGTACTTAAAGTTCTTTCCATTTGCTGCAAATAGCGAAATTTCACTTTTCCTTAGAGCTGACTAGTATTGCATTGTGTATGTATATTACTTCTCTCTTATGAGATGGTATCTCTTTGTGGTTTTGATTTATATTTCCCTAATAAGAAGTGGTGATGAACATTTTTTCATGTTTGTCCACCATCTACCCCTTCTTGGAAAGTGTTTTTTTAGATCATCTAGGTTTAATTGTGTTTTTTGCTTTTTAAGATTTTTTGTTTATTTATGCATACAAGAGCTGGGTTACAGGGCATAGGTGGGGAGGTTGTAAGGATTCACCAAAGACAGAGTGAGGAACAGAACAGGCAGATTGACTGAAATACACTGCTGAGGGAGCAGCTGGTAAGAAATGAGAGGTCTGCTGTGCCATGTGGGTCACCTCTCTGGTCGGGGGATCGAACTCTTGCTTGGGATTGAACTCTTGCTGCAGTGGCTGCAGAAAGCTTCCTAGCACTCTGCTTTAACCCCTTGCACCACCAGGAAGACTCTTGTTTGTTTTTTTGTTGTTCATTTGGGTGAGTTCTTGGATACTAATCCCTTGATGGATGTGTGAGGTACAGATTATCTTCTCCCATTCAGTAGGCTGTCTTTTTAATGTGCTGATATTTTTTTTCACTGTGCAAAGCTTTTTAATTTGATGTAGTCCCATTCCAAACCTAATTATTGGGACCCAGTCACCCTGTTTCCAAGCTATTTCCTTCTAGAGGGCCTGACAAGTTTGATGTCTTCTTCGGACTTAGCATGGCCACACTCAGACTCCTCATTCTTCTTCCCAGCATTGTGAGCGCCACATTCACAGCCTGCAGACCCGAGTGCTAGAACTACAACAGCAGTTAGCCGTGGCTGTGACTGCTGACCGCAAGAAAGATATCATGATTGAACAACTGGACAAGGTGCCAGGGTAGAAGGAGTGTGGGTGGGCCTCTCCATGGGGGGACACCACGGGATAGTTCATGCTCGGAGCTGGTTGTCAGGGTAGTGTTACTGACTACTGGGAGGAGGTGATTATTGACTTGACCCCTGTTGGCAGAATGGGAACAAAAAGTTATTTTGAAATTCCATCTGTCATTCATCTCCTGAGACCCTGGCCCGAGTGGTGGAAGGCTGGAACCGGCATGAAGCTGAGCGGACAGAGGTGCTTCGGGGACTCCAGGAGGAACGACAGGCAGCTGAACTTAATAGAAGCAAGCAGCAGGAGGTGGGAAACCTGGATTGTTTGGCATGAGCATCTAGGTCATGGATTGTTAGATGAGAAGGGGGCTCCCAGTAAATTGGTCCAAGTCTTACAGAGCTGTCCTGATAATTCTTCAGGTCCCTGCTGCTTTTCCTTTCACTTGTTTCTGGTGTCAAACTTGTATCATTGATATCTTTCCAGCACCGCCCCCCCCCAAGACAAAGTCTTTTCTTTGGCCCCCAGGTCATTTAGTTAACTACTGCTTTTAAAGTTTACATTGTTGGTGCTTTTTGAAGTATAACAAACAGGTATTCCCCTCAGTTCTTCTGTTCCCTTTCCCTGAAAGACAGTAGCCCGTCTGGAACAAAGCCTTTCTGAGGCCATGGAAGCCCTGAATCGCGAGCAGGAAGGTGCCAGATTACAGCGACGGGAGAGAGAGACGCTGGTAAGAATGTTGGCTGGGTTAATTCCTTCAGACCGTGTAAATGGTTTTTAGAAGGTGATGGGGTACTGGGAGATGGGAGGGTTGAATTGCACTATAGTCTTAAAAATAGAAAAAGGGCTCAGCTACCTACCAAGTTCAGGAGACTGTGCAAATTCATCCAGGGAATTGTTTTAAAATACAGATTTCTGGGTCCCACCCAGAGGGATCTTAATGAATTCAGCAGATATAAAGTGGGGCTGGAAAGCCTAAATATTTTGAAAAATTTCTAGATGATTTTGTTCAGCCAAGCTTGGGAACTCTGCTCTAGGGCATAGCTAAAAAAAAGTGTGGGGCAAGACCCACTTAAGTTTCTTATCGCTGAAATGATAAAAAATGATCACGCATTTGAATTTGTAGTCAGTTTTGGAACTTTTTGCATGTGGGCACATGTGTGCTACATGTATGTTCGTGGTAGTCTTAATAAGCTACATCCGACAGTATTGATAATGGTTGCTTGTTGATGAGTGCGTGACTATAGGCTGGTTTCCTAGTCTTTGTGGAACTTCTTTTGATGATGGTGGTGGCAACTACTGTATGTTGAGTACTTACTAAGTGCCAGACACTGATATATACTTTACATATGCTTTTTATTTCAATCCTCATCAAGTAGACCACCCTATTATTATTCCCATTTTACAGATAAGTATGTTTGCCTGAGAATACATAGGCATCAACAAAGCTGGTATTCAAACTGAGATTTGAACTCAGATCTATCCAATTTTGGAACAGATGCTCTTATCTACTATATTATAGTTCCATGGGCTTGTCAGCTATTATATTTTTAATGGACATAACTCTCAGTAGACACATAGGGGTTTCAGGGCTGATTTATGGTCTCTTGAGGGCATGCTGAGGATCTTTATTTTCTTTTGGGGCTATAGGAAGAAGAAAGACAAGCTCTGACTTTGAGCTTGGAGCTAGAACAGCAGCGCTGCAGGGCCCTGCAGGAAGAACTGGATGAGGCTCGGACTGGACAACTCAGTGAGCATCGACAGTTAGAAACACTTCAGGTTGTTATAGAAGAAGAGCGGCAGACCTGGAGCCAGCAAGAGCACCAGCTTAAGGAGCGCTACCAGGCGCTGCAGGAAGAGGGCCAGGCTCAGTTGGAAAGGGAGAAGGTAAAAGTGGCATTTGAGGAATAGGATACAAATGAAAAGCAGAATAATTACATGAGATGGGGTATCAGTGTAGGTGGCCTAGTAGACCAGGGTGGAAAGTGAAGAACTGTGTGTAAAAGATGGAGTTGAGAGTGTATATAGGACCAGAAGGAAGGACTGGGGCATCAAATGCATGGAAGGCCAAAGACTAAGGAAACAGGCCAAATGTTTCCTTAGAGTGGGGAAGTTTGGGCTTTAGGATATGGGACTATGAATTTGAGAATAGGAGCAACCAGAAGACAGAAAATTAGGGTTGTATTTAAATTTGATTTCTCTTTCTTAGGGGAACACCCAAAGGGAGGCCCAGGCAGCCCGGGAGGCCCAGCAGCAGTTGGCACTGGTGCAGTTGGAGGTGCGGCGGTTGGAAGGCGAGCTGGATGCAGCTCAGAGAGAGAGAGATGCCCTACAGCTGGAAATGAGCTTGGTACAGGTCAGGACGCAGAGGTTTCTTCAAGTTTCTTTTCTGGTTAGGAGGAGTAGGTTTGAGAGTTACAGCAAATACTCCTCTTTCTAACTGTAATTTTGATCCTTATGTACCTCTGTCTTTTTTTCTGTAAATATGCATCAAAAGGCAAATTAATGAGTTTCTGAAAGCAAGACACTCTGAGAGACATTTTTATTTTTTAATGGTTGACTTAAGGATTTGCCCAATTTCTGGGTCAATGAGGCCAGAGTCTCAGAAGCCACAACTCTTTTTACTTTTTATCTAGCCATTGAATTGGAAGATTAATTACACAGAAACTAATTTATCACGAAGGGCTAAAGTATCAGTGTCTTTGTTTTTCACACTACTTGGTATGTGTCCTTCCAGAATCTGTTCATATATGAGGGTATGGGTTGATGCTTTAAAAAGAAAAAAGCAAAGTTGTGCATTCACTGCAATTTGTTGGATTCTGTTATCCTCATAATATATCATAGACACTTTTCCATGTCCACACGTACATCATTATTTCTAAGTGTTCTATAACCTTGCTATGACTGCATTGTAGTTTACTTAAGCATTTTACTTTGATGAGAGATTTACATCAATAGCAAACAAAGTAGGATGATGGTTGCCAGAGTCTGGGGGGAGGGCGAAACAGAGCATCGTTACTTGCTCACCCTCCTTCACCCCTAGGCCCGGTATGAAAGCCAGCGCATCCAGATGGAGTCAGAGCTAGCTGTGCAGCTGGAGCAGCAGGTGACAGAGCGGCTGGCTCAGGCTCAGGAGAGCAGCCTGCGGCAAGCAGCCTCCCTGAGGGACCATCACAGGTACTGCGGCTTATTGGCTACTGCGACTCCCTGCAGAGCAGGTATTGCTAGTGCCCACCCTCAGCCCTACAGATCCCTTCACCATTTTTCAGTACAGTGGATCCTTTAGCCAAACCCAGGTCTCTCTGTGGGGCATTGACTTCACATGCACTTGCTAAGCCAGAAGTATGTGGGAGTTTTCCTCCTGTGGGAGCAGCACTTAGTCGGTGTCTGATGGGTACAGGAATATAAATTTCCAGCTCTTGCTCCTGATTGGGACAATCACAGCTCAGCACCCAGCTCACGCCATCTGTAGAGCTATCTTACGGGGTTGAGCCTCCCTCACTTCCCAGTCTTACTTTTCACTCATCTCCCTACCCTCTCCCTTTACCAGTTCTTTTCTGGAAACATTAACTGTATCACTTTTTTACTGGCCCTCATCTCAGTTTCTGCTTCTAGGACCCTTTCCTAAGACAGCGGCTTTGTCCTTCTTTCCTGAATCCGCCTGTCTGTGGCCAGGCTGGCTGCTTTACGTCAACACATTCTGGCTTTTTCTCATTTGATTACTGCTGTTTCCAGATTCAGTCTCTTTTCTCACCTGTGTCCTCTTAGAAAGCAGCTGCAGGACCTGAATGGGCAGCACCAGCAGGAACTGGCTGCGCAGCTGGCTCAGTTCAAGGTGGAAATGGCTGACCGAGAGGAGAGGCAGCAGCAGGTGGCTCAGGACTATGAGCTGAGGTACTGGTCCCTGGAGCTTCTCTTTCAGGCTTTAGCCCCTCCTCTGTAGTAGAGCCCAGACTGGGAATATTGAAGAGCTGCGCCCTCCACAGGTCTGTCCTCCTGTAAATTGGCCTCAGCTCTTCAGAATTTCAGATTCCATTCTATTTCATGATGGGGCCTCTTAGTCTCCAAGGCTCTGCTTTCTCAAAGCTCTTTGTCATCTCTCCTGACTTTTCTGCAGACTGGCCCGGGAGCACGCACGAGTACGGGAACTGCAGAGTGGGCACCAGCAGCTGGAGGAGCAGCGGGTCGAGTTGGTGGAGCGACTCCAAGCCATGCTGCAGGCCCACTGGGAGGAGGCAAACCAGCTGCTCAGCTCTACCTCCCTACCTGCCAACCCCCCGGTAGGCATTGCCCCATGAACTGAGCTGTCAGGAGTTGGCTTTAGGTCCCTTCTTTGGAAGCTTTGTTCCTCCCAGGGGAAGATCTAAGTTCAACTTCTGGGACTTATAAAACGTTAGGAGAAAAAAATCTGTGGACTTTCCCAAAGAATAACTGTCTTGTCAAAAGAAAGCTTTCCTCAAGGCCACAGCTCACCTAGACTGGCCCCATTGCGTTAGGCCTAACTCCCTTCTCCCTGCTCAAGAGATGATGAATAATCCTTGAGACTAGTTTTGCCATATGGCAGCTGAATTAATTATAACGATAAGGGCAAAAGGTGTTGCTAAGTCCTGCCCTAGAAGAGGGGCAAGATCTGTTCCCCTAGCCCTTCTTAGGTTGGCTCCTTACTTAAGACATTTGTATTATTAGTTAAGACTTTTTGGGATAAGTAATAATATATACATGGTAAAAAAATATATAAATGGTTCAAAAAGGTGTACAGTATAAAGCACTCGTCATCTTATTTCTATACCTGAATCTCCCAGTTCTTCTCTGCAGAAGCAACCATTGAATTCCTCCCCATTATAGCCTTTTATACACTATTATGTGGCTTTTTATTTAACCAAATATTTATTGTGGTCACTGAAGTTGTTTCTCATATTTCTACAAAGAGTGTACAATAAATGTCATTAATATATGTCTGTGCCATTTTATGGATAAAATGTCTGGATATAGAATGGTAAGATCAAAAATAAGTATTTTAAAATGTGATAGTGTTATCAAATCTTTTTTTGTTGTTGTTATCAAATCTTTTAAGGAAGTTATAGTAATCTGTAATTTTATTCAAGTGTCTCTACCATGTATTAGGGCTATGAGTATTCTTTCTGCCTCTCTCTTGTGCACAGGCTCCTACTACCCGCCCTTCCAGCCCTGGGCCTCAGGAACCAGAAAAGGGGGAGAGGAGGACCTGGACTGTGCCTCCAGTGGCTGCTGTGGCCCTGAAGCCTGTACTGCAGCAGAACCGGGAAGCCAGGGAGGAGCAGCCTGCAGTACCACCTGCTCTCTGCAGCTCCTCCCCAGATATCAGCCTCCTGCTGGGCCCCACTTTCCAGAGCCAGCATTCCTTCCAGCCTCTGGAGCCAAAGCCAGACCTCACTCCACCCTCAGGTAACTAGGGACAGGGAAGTCCTCCACATATTAATTGGCTCCTTCTGACTTAGCTTCCTTTCTGTCTGTGTCTTGGGCATTTATTTTCCAGACGTCTTAGAGGCCATAGGTTGCAGGAACAGAAATCCACTCAAGTTGTGTCAAACAAAGGGACAGAGCTGTCATGGAAATGTGATGTAGTTGGACTTGATAGAACTGGAGTTGGGGTCAGGGCTGCTAGCAGGAACTAAGGTAGCTCTTCCTTCTTCTCTCTGGGCCCATATGAACTCTGGGCTCTGCTTTTCCTTGTACATCTGCTCCTTTCCTTTGGTTAACCTACTGTCTGTCACTCAGGTTTTATTCTAACTTTTACTCGCACATGGGTTTGACCAACCATAATACTGATTCCAGCAGAGGCTTGAGACAACTCGTAGAGACATTGGTGTCTCTTTTCCTTAGGTACAGTTTAAAGAGAGGCAATCTGAGGGGTTTGTAGCCGTTTCAGAGGTTGACTAGCCTGGGGTGTGGTATCACCTTTGGTCTGTGACTTGGGTGTATAGGGTTTCTCCATGTGATGCAAAAATGACAACCCAGGTTGAATCAAGAATGAGGGAAGAATTATACAATTAGGGGTCTCCCTGGTGACACAAGTCTCATTGCTATCAAGCTATCGGCAGCTACTGCAGCAGGAGTTCGACTCCAACCAGGGAGCAGACCCACATGGTGCGGCAGACCTCTCCTGTCTTGCTCACTGCTCCCCTCAGCAGTGTATTTCAGTTGGTCTACCTACTTCCCTGCTCTGTCTCTGGTAAATCTTCTTACCCCCTGCGCCTCTACCCTACACCCCAGCTCTTGTATGCATAAATAAATAAAATAAATCTTAAAAGAATTATCCAATTAAACTTTTAAAATTATGTAATAATAACAATAAAAAAGAATGAGGGCATGTTCTGGTGAAGGAGCCAGAATATCTTTCTTAATCCCAAACCATTTTGAGTACTGGTTTCTATTCTTTAAGGAGTTTATGGTGTTATTTAAAGCTGAGCTCTCCCCTGTCTATACTTCTGTCTGAAATATAGTGAATTTTTTTTTAAAGATTTATTTATTTATTCATACAGAACTGGGGTACAGGCGAGAGATACGGAGGGTGAGAGGATTCACCAGAGACAGAGCGGGAAGCAGAACAGGCAGATCCATGAAGTACACTGCTGAGGGGAGCAGCGGGCTGGTCAGGAGAGGTCTGCCACGCCATGTGGTCACCTCCGGGGCAGGCGGGGATCGAACTCATGTGGAAGTGGCTTTAGTTTCTCAGTGCAGTGCTTTAACCCGCTGCGCCACCAGGGAGGGCCTGAAATATAGTGAATTTTGTCTGAATTCAGTGGTTGCCTTCAATCCTTCCCTCTCTAGCTGTTTTATATTTTCATTATCTTTTTCTCCTAATTTGAAATGTCTCATTTATATTTAATAAGCCCCTTTTGGGGGACATTTGGTGAGTTGATCTGTGGAGGAATCCCCTTTACCTACTACACACACACACACACACACAAACACATGCTCCCTACTCCTGTTTCCCTTCACCTACTACACACACACACACACACACACACACACACACACACACACACACGCTCCCTACTCCTGTTTTACTCCAAAACTGAGTTCTTTCCACTGTAGTTGGGGCCTTCCATGCTGATGACAGAGCAGAACGGCCATTCCCTGTGGAAGATCCTGGATCCAATGGGGATGGTTTCCTAAGGCAAGAGTTGCCACCCCCGCAGGTTGAGGGCCTCAAGCATTTTTTGCAGCAGGTAAGAGAGGGCCTGCATATTTACCTTAATTTTCTTCTTCCTTTCCCCATCCTCTCTTCCTACTTGAGTCCATTACACTGATTACATCCTGCTTTTAGAACTAACACTTTGTCCCACCTTCTTATTCTATCTTACTCATTTCTTTCTTAGGCAGCCAACACTAGTTCTTACTTCCCCAAACTCTGCTCCTCTCCTAGATAGCTAAGTCACCTTTTCTATCCATCTCAGGAATCTTACTCTCTTGTCCCTGCAGCTGCTTGAGACAGTTCCCCAGAACAATGAAAACCCTTCTGTTGACCTGCTGCCCCCTAAGTCTGGTAAGTGCCAACTCTTAAAAAGGTTGGAGTTAGGCCTGGAAAAGATGGAAGTTGCTTATTGGATGGGTTTTTAGGACATGGCCTGGTGACAGAACCTAAAAAAGTCGGACTTCCTTGACTCTTGGATCACCTTCTTTTTGCTAGGTCCTCTGACTGTCCCATCTTGGGAGGAAGCCCCTCTCATGCCACGCCTTCCACCCCCTGTCCATAAAACAAAAGTACCCTTAGCCATGGCATCGAGTCTTTTCCGGGTCCATGAACTTCCCCCAGCCCATTCACAGGACACTGTCCCCAGAGGTGGCTCCCCAGAGAGAGGTAAGCGTGTTCTGGTTTACCAGGAAAATAAAAAGAGGTTTTGGGTGCTGAACTATAGAACCTGTAACTGAAGGGCCTTCTGGATTCCTAGGGAGATGGGGTGAGGGATAACCAGCAGGGTCCCAGGATGGCCACCATTACTGATATGTCTCAGGTGGAGATGGGCTTGCATCCACGAGGCAGCTGATGGATGTGTCTCAGCTGTTACGACTGTACCAGGCTCGGGGCTGGGGAGCACTGCCTGCTGAAGATCTGCTGCTCTGCCTGAAGAGACTGGAACATAGCGGGTAGGAGCCTGGGGGGAAGGGTTAGGCGGACAGAGTCTGGGGGGGCAGGGGTATGCAGCAAGCAGGGAAGTGTTTCCCAGTGAGTGGGATCGTTTTGTCCTTTTCTGGGGAAGAAAGTGATGGTGAGATGTGGATCAATAAATCTCATCCTTAGGTTATGTCTCTCACTGCTTTTTTTACCATTTTTTTTTGTTTTTTTTTTTTGTTTTTTTGCTTTATTAAAAAAAAAAAGCTCCGTGTTGTTTTACTTTAGATTTATCCCTATCCCCTGCAGCTCAGAACCTGACTCTCCAGTATAGATCAGTATTTGATTCTACTGCTGTGTCTTCCTATCTGGCCCTCGGATCTGTCTTGTTCCTATTCTAAACAGACTGAATTGGGAAATCCATCCAGTGTTGGGGAGAATGTGGGAAACAGTTTCCCTGTCCTTATCCCTTCATTTATATGGCAGGACTGAGAGCCGAGGGGAGAATGTCCCCAGAAGGACGGCTGACTCCCGCTTGGGTGAGATCCCCCGGAAAGAGGTGAGGGAAAATTGGGCAGGGATGAGAGGGTGGAAGGGCTCTCACTGACTCGTTCCTCCACTTCCACGCATTTCCTACTGGCCTGTTCTCCAGCATCTGACCCTCCAATTCCTGTTCTCATCTTCTGTAGCAATGGTCGTTCCCCCTTAGCTGACTCACTCTGGTCCTCTCCACGCACCGTGCCTTTCCACATTGGGGTCAGGGCTTGAGGGTACAGGCACTGACCTTTGCTTTTTCCCTTCAACTCAGATTCCCTCCCAGGCTCTCCCTCGCCGCCTTGCTACAGCCCCTAAGACGGAAAAGCCTCCAGCACGGAAGAAAAGTGGACATCCTGCCCCTAGTAGCATGAGGAGTCGGGGGGGCATCTGGAGATAAGCACCATTCTCCTCTTCTTGGTTCTCTTATTAGCTGAATAAATGTTTAGCCTGTTTTAGAGTCTCTGACACATAGGAAATTTGAAAATGGAGATTTTATAGGAAACATTTTTGTAAAGAACTGCATTTATATTTACTCATCCTTTTGAGTATATTTTTATTTTATGTTCTATAGAAAAACACATGAATTCTTTGAAAGAAAAGAGTCCGTAGCTAGGTTTTAGCAAGATAAGTAAGGTTCAGTGTTTTGAGAGTAAAACAGAGTGATTGGCTGTGGCTGGTAGTAGAATTATAGATGATTTTTACTCTCTTTTTCATGTATTTCTGTGTTTCCCAAATATTTGAAAACAAGTATGCACAACTTAATAATCAGAAAAGCCAAGCTTTTAATAAAAAAGTAAGTTGTTATATATAAAGAGTTTGAGTAAAAACTTGATTGCTGGCAATACAGTTTTCTCTTGTAAGAGCAGGTAATTCAGATTGTATTAGTGGGATTCTGACTGACAGATTCTGCTCCAGTCAGCACACATACTGTGGCAGTAATCTTTTCTCATAAAATATCATAGTGTGGCAAGGAAAAAAATAAAAGCCTCGATTACTGAAACTTCCATTCTAATAGTCACTGAAATGAACAAAGAGAAACAAAACTAGACAAGAAAATGACATCAGTGTGAAACTTAAACCCTTAATTTCATAATACTCGAAAAACCTCTAGTACAATTTATATTAAACTGTAGGATGACATCTTGGCGCCCACACATGGTTCTCAGCAGAGATGGTGGTAAATACAGTTATGCAGGTCTGATCCCACGTGGGTGTTTGAGAGAGCTGACTAGATTCTGTGAGTCTGTGGCACCCTTCTATCAATATTTGCTGTTGAGTTATTTGGCTCCAGAATAGACATGATAGGATACAGACTCAAACAGTATTTCTTCCGCTAAGATAGCAGAAGGGAATATTTATTATATGCATGATATAGTTAGTCAACTGAGAACAGAACTAGTCCAGAATGTCACAGGTCCAGGGCCAAACACCAAAAGGGACAGTTTGGATATGAGCAAGGTGGGCCTGTCAGAAGTGGTTGCAGCAGTCAGATGGTCCTGGGTGTTCTAAATTCACTGAGACAGTTTCTAGACAATAGCATGCAGTCCAACAACACTACCAGCACCCAGGCCTCCGACTTTCCTTATATCGGTTCCTGTAGCTTCCATGGGAGCTTCTGCCTCATCTTCTTTTGCACTTTTGCCTGTGCATTCACTTCTTCCTTCATTTGGCTGTCATGGTGCAGAGGCTGAGAAGATGGCACTAACCCTCAGGTCACACAGTGTATCTATGAACATGTTCAGATCTTATTTCCTTCCACCTGAAAGTAACTTACTAGCTATCAGTGGAGAGAAAAAGGGACGAAAGATAAACACACATGAGCAGCACGTGAGGGTTCTCTGGCCGGTTGAGCCTGGTCATCGTCAGCAGTCTTGCTCAGGGCTGCTCTCTCTGGCAAAGAAGCAGCAGCAAAAGGTAAACTTGTGCAAGAGTAGTACCAGCTCCAGAGGCTTTTTCAAGCCCCCTTTTTGTACCTACTTATGAAAATATTTGCTTTTCTATTTTTTTGCTTCAAGTGTATAAAATTGATTTGACCACATTGATATCAGAACACACTGTCATTGGTAGAAGGTGGCTTTATATCATTTTTAAAAGCTGGCAAAAGCTTTTTAAACCAAGTGCTACTTCATTATCTCTCGGATTTCAACCGGTCACCATCAGTCAACATTTTTCTTGACATGAAAAACAGTGTAGAGAATATCCCCCAACTCTCCAGAACAAAATCATAAAAGAACACAGTGCTAACTTAACCATATGTGACCTAATAGTGAGAACTATGATTTGAAAAAATGTACCCACATTAAAAGTTTGTTTCTTCACCAAAGACCACCAAGGAGACTGAAGAGGACGAGAAGACCCATAGCCAAAAAGCCCCTGTTTTTCCCCTTTATTATCATTTTGGGAATATTCTCAGGGGAAGAAAAATGAGAAAGATTTTGGGAGCTCCATGAAAGCCCACACACAGATGAGGTAGGTGCAAACTTTAAGCTCAGATTTCACTTGGTGCAGACAGAGTGTGATACCGGATTTCGTCTGTGGAGAACTCCCACAGCTGCTGTGGTTGGGGGGTGGGGGCGGTTCTGGTGGATGAATTTCACAAACATAATGTTGAGTGGGAAAAACAGATTGCAGAAGAAAATATGCATACACTATTTATGTAAAGTTTGAAAACAAGCACTGGGTGGTCCAATCCAGCGTGGGGTGTTGGAGCCCAAACAGGGTAAGGAAGGGGCCTCAGTGGGGCAGCCTGGCTCAGAGACAGAGGTGAGGAGCAAGTTCATTTGGCAATTGTCAGCAGGGATGGGGTGAAATTCCCATCTGTGGTGGGAAATTGTTAAAGATGGGGGGTTGATCAAATATGTAAATATATTGTGAATAACGGAAGCCAGGTTCCTCACTGTTGGAGAAAGGATTTAGAAATACAGAAAGGGAGAAAACTAGAACAAATTCTGTGGAACAAATTCAGTATAGACTGTGGTCTTCAAAATAACAATAGGGGACTCCTTGGTGGCCAAGGGGTTAAGCCTCAGCACTATCACCACTGGGGCCTGTCCTGAATTTGATCCCTGTCCAAGGGGTTCATTCACACAGGGTATGGCAGACCCCTCCCCGCTCACCCACTGCTCCCCACAGCAATGTGTTTCAGTAAATCCAGCTGTTCTGCTCCCCACTTTGTCTCTGGTGAATGCTCTTATCCCCACACCTCTAGCCTACAACCCAGTTCTATGCAAAATACCTACAGTTGTAAATTGGTGTGTGCATTGACATATTCCCTGGCAACACTCCTGTATTAGTTTCTTAGAACTACTATAAAAAATTAGGTGTCTTGAAATGACTGAAATTTATTCACTCACAGTTCTCGAAACTATTCAAAATGTTGGCAGAGCTCTTTAAAGGCTCTAGGGGAGTCTTCCTCACCTCCTCTAGCTTTGGTGATGGACGCTGATAATGCTCCATAATGTCCTTGGGCTTATAGCAGCAACACTCCAATCCCTGCCTTCACTGTCACACTTTGTCTGTCCACATCTCCCTGTGCTTCACATGATTTTCACAAAAGGGGACCAGTCATTCAATTTACCACACCCTAATCCAGCATGATTTCTTCTGGTTTTGATTATGACTGCAAAGACCCTGTTTCCAAACAAGGCTATACTCAGTTACTAGATTTTAGATCTTAAACATTTTGTGGGGGGAGGGCTTAGCGGACACAATCCAACACTAACTCCATTAAAGCACCTAGCATCTAACTCTCGCTTCTAGAAACTATTCTCTACTAAGAGAACCAGCCCTCCTTGAAGCAATGACTTATTCCAGATATGAAACAAGGAAAGTACAAGATAAATCAAAAAAATCTTGAGTTAAAAAGTGATGGACTATGGTGATGGCACATGGGTGACTTGGTGATGGGAAGCCCACCTGGATTACAATTGAGATGGAAAAAAAAATGTACAAAATGATGTAAAAATAAACTATTAGATTTAAAAAAAAAAGTTATGGTGTGCTAAGAAACATTATGGGGTCATGGCAAAAGAACACAAAAGTTGATGTGAGGAGTTCCACTGGCGCTCAGTTTGAGCGCTAAAAGATACACGCATGATAGAGGATTACAATCCTTTGAGTAAAATAAGAAATCATCAGTCCATGCAAACAGACTAATAAATTGAAAGCTTGCTGAGGTCTGTAAGGTTATGTACATAGGTTTAGTGCTCCACAAAATACTTTCTAATTACAATAGGGAAAATGTAACTCCACTGTGGAGAACTCCAGCGGAGCCGCCTTAATCAAGTGATCAAAGTGGACATCATCAGTGATGAATCAAATCCAAATCGTGTGCCACCTGAGAGGATGCAATACAGTGAGATTCCTGCTGACCAGCCATAGCTTGAACTTAACCATGAAGAAACAGCAGGCAAACCCTGCACATGATGGATGTGCTTTAAATTAGTGGCTTGTAATTTTCAAAATTGTCAACATCATGAAAGTGAAGGAAAGATGGGAAGGCTCCAGACCCAGGTTGGCTACCTTACACATAAGGACTCATTGTGTATGTGATTCTGACCCTGACCATTTTGCTATGGAGAACAATTTTTGGACAACTAGTGAAACTTGAAAAAAATCAGGATTAGATACTGTAGTGATGGATCAGTGTTGGTTCCCTGGTTTTGATGTTTGTATTAGAATTTCCTGTTTTCAGGAAACAAGACACTAGTGCATTTGGAGGTGCTGTGGCAATCTGTTGGCTATTGGCTCTCAAATGACTCAGAAGAAAAATATTTGTACAGTACTTGCAACTTTCCCATAAAATTTGAATTTTTTTTTGTTTTTAAAAACCAGGTTCAAACCCAACTAATTTTTTAAAAACGACATATTTATTTATGCATACAGAACTGAGGCACAGGCCAGAGGTGCATGGGAAGTGAGAGGATTCACCAGAGACAAAGTGGGGAGCAGAACAGGCAGACTGACCAAGTACACTGCTGGGGGAGCAGTGGGTAGGCAGGAGAGGTCTGCCACGCCATGTGGGTCAGCTCCCTGGTTGGGGATCGAACTTGTGCTGCAGAGGCTACAGCTTGCAACTAGCTTCATATGCTGCGCTTTTAACCCATTGCACCACCTGGGACTAAACTAAAAATTTTAAATACCATTAATATAATACTTGTTTCCTAGGGAGAAATATGATAAAAATAGTGGATGACATGGACCAAAAGCAAGCCACCAACACTGTACAAGATCCCTTGGACCTTATCAGGCTCAGTTCATCTAGGTGAGTGGACTTAATGTGAAGTGAGAAATGACAGCTCCTGGGCAGATTACATGCTTATGTTGAACATTTAAACACAATACTGGGAGGTGTGGCAGAGACTGCTTGCTACAGAAATTGATGAGGAAAACTATGAAGAGATCTATAAGTCAACAAGACAGAATATTCCAGTTTTCTTTGTCTGGGAAAACAATGTACTCATTGCCTCTCCATTGAGAGTTGGCTGCAACAAAGAATTGAACCCATGTGGAAAATAGGGGAATTACTATGATTGTTTCCTTACCTGTAGAAGATACTCAAATGAGAACCCTGCATAAATTTTGGTATTAGAAATGACCAAGGATTCGGCCACTCCTGAAATTAGATAATTTGCAGATAACTCTCAAATTCTTAAGCTAGATAGCATTTTAATTTTTCTCCAACCCTTCCATTAAATGTCACCAAGACAGAAAACTCAGGAGTCAGCCTGCTCCATTTGTGTTTTTCAGACACTATCTGATTGCTTCCTTTATATCTGTTTAAAAATTATGAAAATAGCTGAAAAAACAACAGCAGTATCAATAAGCCTCATACTATTTAGAAACATTATGTGGTGAAACTCAAATGTCAAAGAGACAATAAACACCCAGTCAGTTAGTGGTGTGAAGGAGCCCCTGGGGGAGAAGGACATGTGTTGGGGAGGAGACCCAGGGAAGTCAGGGCCTAAGTACTATTCCATTTCTTGAACCATC